ACTTCAATGAAGAATGAATATATTTATCAGTACCACCCTGTGATGAATTTTCAACTATATCAACGTCGAGATTCTATAATTGATCTCATGTACAAATCATTATGATTCACTCTGAAATATTGCTGATAATTAAATTCGCACAAATTTTGCTCTTATCTTTCATCTAAAACTTAAATGAAATGTGGAATGATCAATAGATTCCTATACGGAGGGGTTCACCATGTCAATAACTCCTCCGTTGATTTTCTTTGAGTTTTTAGTACTCTCCAATCAGAGCCAATAAACATTTCTTATAGTCCCCCAAGCAATCATCCTGAAAATAAAAATATAATTATAAAATACGCCTGTTCAACTATTATTAATCCTTAAAAAATATAGGGTGTTTCATAATTGAATGTCAATATTCGAGGATGCAATTCTTGGACCCATTCTAAGAAGAAAGTTTCATATGAACGTTTATATGACCAAAACCTCCTAACTTTTGAGATACAGAGTGGTGAAGTTCTCAAAAATTAATATAGCCTACTACAATGAAAAGTAATAATTCCAAAGTACCAAATACAAATACGAAGCTCATAAACTATGAGTTGTATTTCTACAATTTGATCTTAAGAATAAAATCTATTTCTCTGCATTGTGATGTTGTCATATCAACAAATTCAGGAATGATTTCAATTTGAAGATTAATCAGTGGCGTACCATCAATATCTGTCAAATAGGTATGTGAAATTCCATACGAACGCCACTGGTGGCAACAACAAAAAATGTGGTACACTAACTGATGCCTCTTGATACATATAGTACATGTATGCCAAATTTCATTAGAATATCTGAAAAGGTATTACAGCTAGATATTAATAAAAAACTATTAATTTTTGAGAATTTTACCACCATGTATCTCAAATGTTAGGACGTTTAGGTCATACGTTTATATGACATTTTCTTCTTAGAATGGGCCCAAGAATCGCCTCCCTAAATATTGGCATTCAATTATGAAACACCCTGTATACTGTATCATTACTGACATTAGGAAAAATAGTACATATATTATTCAACGAGAGCATAATGATGGCTAATATTCACGAAGATGAAAGTTGCAGTACGAGCAGAAGGCGAATGATGTAATCTGAGTGGGTAATAGCCATTAGGCGCGAGAATACAAAGAAAAAAAAGTCTTCGAAAATCATGTAGCTAGTTTAATATTGCAACTGTGATGCCCCGAAATAATTAGGGGCCCTGTATATATATAAATTAAAGAATTCATGATTCATGATAAAATTTCAACACGTGCTTACTGAGAACAAAGAACGACCTGAATTGGCGAGTTCCTATAAATATGAGCCGTTGACCATTTATTCAGATTCCAAAATGGTGATCCTGTACCTATACTGAAGCTTATTGACTCATACATCCGGAATAGAAAACTCAAAGTCAAAGTTGGACATGAGAAGTCATTATCCCAGATCAACGAAAGCATAGGAGTCCCGCAAGGCGCAGTGTTAGGTCCAAAGCTGTTCACCATATACACATCAGACACCCCGAAGTCAGATAACACCTGTTTATCCCTATACGCAGACGACACGGCAATAGCCGCAAGATATAAGAGACCAGAACTGGTAACACGATACCTTCAACAGGAGCTAGAGAACTGGTGTGTATAATAAAATGTAGCCATCAACCCGGACAAAAGCAAAGCAGTACTGTTCAAAGGAAGAATGCGCAAAATATCAGAGGGACATGTGGAGATAGGCGACAATAACATACAATGGCCAGAAAAGACACAATACCTAGGAGTACTAATGGACCAGGGGCTAACATTCAGCGAACACACGAAAAAAAAAGTTTTGTTGCGCCAACAAAATAATTTTGGTCATTTATTTTTGGTTAAATTAAACACAATTTTGCGAAATCAACAAAATATATGTTCATTCCAAATAAGCAACCTAGTCAAAGAGACAAAATAATTTGATTGAAATATTTGCTAACTAGAACAGAAGTTTCATTTTATTCAACAACATGTTGACATAAAACAAATTTTGTTGATCAAACTATTATCTCATTGTTCAATCAATCATATGCATTTTGTCTATTCGACAGAATTGAATCAATTTTGACAAAGATTTATCTGAATACAACATCATATTTTGTTGAGTCAACAATCATTTCATTGTGCAACCAATCAGAGGTTTTTTTCTATGCGACAAAATTGAATTGATTATGACAACATTATAATTTAATGATTCAACATATCACTATCAAGAAATATGTTGTTATTTCAAACAAATTACTTTGTTGAACAGAACCCATAAAAACATAATATCAAACAAATATTTTGTTGAATGATTATCTATAGTTGCATTTTTGCCACCAGGTGGCGTTTCTTCCAACCTTCCTACACTTGCCTCGATTGGGGTGTACATACATGACCGTTGGTCATTATTAAAATTTTTATGTGGTGGAGTTGTGACTGTAAGTTCTTTCACCCCTCCTGTTTTATATCACCTCCACTGTAAGTTATGGATCACCTACGTTGGTTAAAGCTTCATCTTTAAGAGTACTTATTCTTCCATTAACATTTCAATATCAGAAGGTGAATGAAAGGTGGATAAGAGTACAATGTTTGGACGAATTGTTCTCGGAATTGTTCCATTAAAGATGAATATCTGTGTCGCCCAGAATATGTACACCTTTAATTTGTTACTTTCTGGAGAACGAGAAGCTACAAAAGGCATATCTGAAAAGACAATATGATGTAGCTCTTGAGTATAAAAATTTGAACTTTTCACCTTCAAAATGTTTTGTCAGGACCTCATCAAGGTTGTCATTCTCCTTTTTACTTTTTGTTTCAATGATTCAGTTTTCTTTGCATCAGAACTGGCCTTTTCGATTGAAACGGTTAGTGGGTTTCATTATCAATAAAATCTGAAACTTGGGAGCTGAAAGTTGTACTCCATTCATCGGATAAAAAAAAAGTTTACACCAATCCGCTATTACACAACACGAGTGTGTAAGAAACAGGTCACCGGTAACACAACCCAGCATGAATAGGCGGGAAATAGCCGGGCCATCGCTGTCAGCAGCAGAATCAGATACGTGTCGGCAGCGGCAAACCGATATCGGCAAAATGTTTGAATGACATCGGTTGTGCCGTCACAGCTTGATGTACGCTTATTCATCATGTTTGTTTGTCATCCATCGCATAATTGACCGATATAGATATGTAACAATCGTGCCGCTGTCGATTCGACGCCAACTACTGAATGATACTCGAAAACATCTTCACGACATTTTATTATGATCAAACGATCAAATCGATTGGTATATGTTTTGGACATATATATGCCCATCCTCAGCGTAATTAAAATTGCTAAAGTGATTGTGTCCTGGAAATGGAGAAAGTTTGGTTACATCATAATAATAATGAATATAATGAAAGAGGGGAGTTTGATTCTCGCTATAGCAGAAACAACCCAACAAACCCCAAATGCAAAAATTATGGTGGAAACGACTGAAAAGCCCACCACGAGGTGCACATCTGCAACACTACAGAATGAGAGAACGTGGCTATGTCGGGAAGAACAAAATTTGAAACATATTTCGTTGACTCCTTGAATCAGAATATGAAAATACTACATTACAGATCATAAAAATATCCTGTACCTCGTCGTGTTTCTATATATCACCAAGAAGTATAAATAGAGAAAAGTGAAGACAAAACTTACTGATTTTTCCACAGTATTTTTTTTTATATTCTTTAGATTTTGGCGAATAAAAACACGTGAGACTAATCTTCGGCCTATAGACATACTTCCCAGGCAACCAGATGACGTTCCAGTGACGTATTTTTCACGTCACTTGAATGACCAAGGTGACGTCAGTAGTTGACGTCATATAACGTGAATAAGTCACAGCCCAATGACGTCATATTACTCACGTCGTATTGACGTCATTCGCTCACCAAACTGTGACGTCCAGCTGACGTTCTAATGACGGTCAAATGACGATTGAATTTGGCTATGATACGTAAAAAAGATTCCTTCAACATGGTGTGATAAACACCACTAGCCTCTGATGACATTATATAATATTGATTATGCATTGTTGAGTCTGCTTGGTGGGTCATTCCTGTGTCATGTTCATTCAATCGTCTATATTCAGCAGCGCCATCCTTCAGTACGCATCTCCATCAAAATGCAATCAGTTACTTGTATTTGTATCAAAAATGATGTTGTTTGTGTCGGCGAGATGTAAGCAAACAAAGAATAGCTTGATAGCAATGGAAAGGATGTTGGCGAATTTGGCTTCACTTTGTTGAATAATGTATATTGATGCATTCTTTGTCACACAACAAAAATCTAAATAGTAAATTATTGATGAATTTCCTAAATGACGAACCTCACCAAATTGGTACGTCACACCGACGTGATTTTTAGACGTCATAGATACGTCACTGTAACGTCATAAGAGTGACGGTTTCAATATAGGTATACCTAAACATTCATTTTTATATATACATAGCTTGTTGGTTTCTGAGATATACAGTGTGTCAAAGTTATTTAGAAAAAAGTTTGTCTACTACTTTTCGGGTATTCATAAATTGGTGTGTGACGTCTCTGACGAAAATCACCAATCAGGGACGTCACAGTGACGTGATCATTCGTCATCTGGTTGCCTGGGTTACTTCCAATTGACATTTAATTACAACGCGTCAAAGGTACAGGCAGTTCATGGACTGAAAATGTTGAAATATTTTGAAATATCAATAGTTCGGAATCAATTGATATTTTTATTCCAACGATCATGTATAATGGCTATTCTTCATGAACCCGCACATCGCGGTTTACGACATTTGCCTTTTGCTCGTATCGTATATCGTACCATTATACCATCGATATCTAATGTCGATGGTACCTAACTCTTGTAATGATAGCTATTATTACATGATCGTTGCTTGAAAATATACTGATCATATCGAAATGAATATTTTCTTTTGTTTTCAGAAGCAACCAAAAAATGAGTTTTTCATCAGGTTACCCGAATCAACAGGTGAGTTGAAGTGTGTTAATTCAATTTAATTCCTGTGGTCCTGATTGTACATAGAAGTACCTATATATGGTTGATGTTTTTTAACTTCGATATATAACGATTTGAGCCAACTTCTCTAATTAACACACCTCCTTCCATTGGACATCCAATGGATGTCCTCAATCCGACATCCTGGACATCATTCATAGGATAACCACTTTGTGCACACAGGACATCCTATGGATGTCCATAGGATATCAGCTTTCCACATTTTAGGACATACATGCGTTACCCATGATGGACATCTATTCGGAATCCATGATGGACGTCCATTTGGTGTCCATCATGGACATCCATATGGTGACCATATAATGGATATATATACCGACCTATATATATGTATTCAAAAGACAGGTTAGGCTATTTTTTCGTTATTTCAAACATATAGTTCATGGGTGAAACCTAAAGTATATATATGTTATGATAAAAAAATAGATGATGGTACCTACTAAGGATGATAACATTGACAAAGAAGTCGTTTAATGCACCTTCACAAAAACTGAAATAAATATTTTGCATCATTTCTGCATTATTTTTGAGCATATTCTTTGTTCTCTGAATCCCGTCTCCATGATTATTGTTCAATATTTACTGGTCTAACATGTACCTCCCATATAGCCCTCGACGTCCTGAGGACGTCCAGTTTAGGCCCGATTTAGGACTGAACGTCCAGGACCTTTTCAAGACGTCCTGGAAACGTCCGTTTCTGGACGCACTGGGTACGTACGATTACGATGTACTGGGAACGTCCAACTCTGGAATTTATCTACTTTCAAGGGACGAGATTTGTTCTTACTACACGTATATTGAAATGATATTCATATTTTTATTTTATAGAAACAAGGAGAGAAAACCCTATAAAATCTGAAATAATAGTTTTTCTTCCAAAATAGTTGCAGAGTCAACACCTATTCCTGTTTCAATCGTCATACTGCTACTACTTGATGGACATTCATCATAATATTCAACTGTATTATCCGAATCAGTATAGTAGTATTCGTAAGGAACGTGCTAATCTTGGAAATTTTTCATTTCTCATCTTCTTACTTTTGTTTTCTTCTTCTTTTTGAAGCACCACTAGTTTCAATCAAGTTCTCCATTTGAAATAATTGGCTTATATCGTTGTTTCACACATCACCCTGTACCTACACCGAAAAAAAAAACATGCGTGCACTATTCGCAGAAATAAAAAAATTATTCCTGTGGCATATTCATAATTGGAAAATTCACGTATCAACCAATTTTGCTGAGTCCTTGCTCTGGTTGGTGGACCGAGGGCTTCCGAGGAACGGGCCCCCCGCAACCGCGGGGTTTCGCGGTATAGTAGTTACGCCACTGGCCTAAATTGAGTTTTGCAACACTTCTCTTGCTTTATTCATGTAAATAATGAGTCTATGCGTTGTTCCAATTTGTTCAATTTCAGAGCTCATTTCAAACGTACCGTCATGGCCGCCATTTGACAATACGTAGAATAAATAGTGACGTCAGTTTTACTGCTGTTTCGTTGTTGGTCAGATAATCTTTTATTCCTACTCATGAAGCAAGGTAGCCGAGTCCCCAATTATAATCAAGTTATCAAACGAGTTGAATAAAACATAATAGGAGGAACCCATAATATCATAGTTAATTCTTGACATTTTCGAGCAACCAGCATGTCCAAATATTTCTTATATTCCTAAAAAAAATATCATGTGAATGTTGGAGACTTTGCAACATTGCGCTGAATGCTGATAACTGACAAGATCACGCCCACAATTCTTGGTGCGCCGTGTTGTCACGTGTACCCGAGCGTTTACTGGTTCGAATGTCCTCTAGTGTGAATTAATATAATCATTATTCACACAAATATATCATAACCAATAAGCCACAACACATGAGGGGACATTTTGGGTCTATTGATTTTTTAATGCTAATTAGGAATATTATCAATATACAGGGTGTTCCGGTGATCATGTTACAAACTTCTAGGGTAGATAAAAAAAAAAGAAAATAAGAAAAAAAGTTCATGTGAACATGGGTCCGGAAACGCTTCTTCAGGGAGCTAGGGCCCTTCGAAGATGACCTTTAAAAACTACTTTTCTTTTTTTAGCTTCGGTATTACTGCAGCTATCGCAACCAATTTTGGGACATGAAATTTAGTTCGCAGGTTCATCAATTTGAGCCTTCCGGATTTTGTCACCTTCAACCAGAAGCGTACGAACCAGGGGGGTATTTGGGTAAATTTGACCCTACTCCTCTTAGGCTTTGATTTCTTACCATTTTTATATCTGATTATGATTCTCCAATGCCTTTTACATAAAAAAGGTACTCATGTGAAAGTCGCTATCTGTCACCGTTTCCTCCGAAAATGGCTAAATCCAATCAATAATAAATTTTCATGTTGAATTATGAAAATGAGGTTCAGTACAGATAGTGGTCAAAAATCTGTCAATAAAATATTGTGTCGCCAGTGAATCATGGATTATACTTTCACCGAATATGCCGATATGCTATTAATTTATGGCGAAGTTCATTGCAATGGAAGAGCCGCTTCAAGATTGTATCAGGAGCGGTTTCCTTGGAGGCGTGTAACTGCTCACACGCTGTTCGAGAGGGTAAATCAGCGCATAAGGGGAACTGGCTCCGTGAAAATAACGAGGCCAGATAGTGGCGCTCAAAGAAATGTGCGAACTCCAGAATTTGAGGAAGAGGTACTCCGACAATTCGAGGAAAATCCTAGTGTTAGTACCCGAGCTGTTGCAGAATCCATGAATGTAAGTCATGTACGTGTATGGGAGATTGTTAACGAACAACTTCTTCATCCTTACCATCGCCAAAAAGTACAGGAATTGGGACCAAATGATTATGCACCCCGCGTAGAGTTTTGCGAGTGGTTTCTTCAACAGTGTACGCAACAACCCCTGCAATTTCCGAAATTTGTGCTTTTCTCTGATGAGGCTGTTTTTACGAGAGAAGGTATTCTAAAATCACGGAATAGCCATGTGTGGGCAGCGGAAAACCCTCATGCTCTTCAAATAAGAGGGTACCAACATCGATTCTCGGTGAACATGTGGGCTGGAATTGTTGGAGAACGTCTAATTGGACCAATCATGTTGCCTCCTCGACTAACTGGGACGGTGTACATCAATTTTTTAAGATACACCTTACCTGAGTTATTGGATGAACTGTCCCTCGACATACGTCGGAATCTATGGTTCCAGCATGATGAAGCACCCGCTCATTTTTCACATGTCGTACGTCAGCACCTCGATGATCGTTTTAGAGGACGTTGGATTGGACGTGGAAGCGATGTCAACTGGCCAGCCCGGTCCCCAGATTCAACTCCTATGGATTTCTTTCTTTGGGGACGAATAAGGCTAACGGTCCTGATGGAATTCCACCCATTATCCTCAAAAAATGTGCACCAGAATTAACACCGATCCTCTGCAAGTTGTTTACCATCTCGTACAGGTCGGGTATTTTTCCATCATGCTGGAAGGCAGCTAGAGTCCAACCAATCCCCAAAAAAGGGAACAAGAACCTGCCCAACAACTACAGGCCCATTGCCCTGTTATCAGTAATCTCCAAAGTGATGGAGAAAGCCATCAACATTGAGCTCATCAAATATCTGGAGAGCTCAGGAATCATCAATGATAGACAATACGGCTTTCGCCACCGAAGATCTACTGGAGATCTACTTGCCTACGTCACCCATTTATGGCAATCTTCAATAGAAAAACACGGGGAATCTCTAGCTGTCGCGTTGGACATATCGAAAGCATTCGACCGTGTTTGGCACGAAGGACTCCTCCACAAACTACCATCATACGGCTTACCACCTCAGCTATGCCATCTCTTATCGAGTTTTCTTTCAGGCAGATCGCTTCACGTGGTGGTGGATGGTGTATCGTCTGATACCATTGGCATCAATTCCGGCGTTCCACAAGGATCAATTTTGGCACCAACATTATTCCTGCTTCATATCAATGATCTGTTGGGAGTAACAACTTGCCCCATCCACAGCTTTGCAGATGATAGTACCCTCCATACTGCGTTCTCTTCCAGAATTCCCATTTCTTCCCAGGAAACTAAGAACTCACGGCGCAGGCAGGTCAATGCCGTCAACGAAGATCTTGCTGAAATCACAGCCTGGGGAACAAACAACCTAGTTGAATTCAACGCCACCAAAACTCAAGCCTGCATTTTCTCTAGAAAGGCGGAACTCAGTATGCCCGATATTGTAATGTCTGGCTCCACCATCCCCACCAAGCCCACCATATCTATGCTCGGTATTTCCATCAGCAACACTCTTTCATGGGATAATCATGTCAGATCCATCGCAAAAGCTGCTTCACAAAAACTTGGATTCTTGTTCCGTGCGAAAAGCTACTTCACACCTCAACAGCTTCTCATGATCTACAAAGCGCAGATACGGCCTGTTCTAGAATACTGTTCCCACATATGGGGTTCAGCACCAAAACATACGCTGATGCTCTTAGATTCCATCCAGAGAAGAGCCATTCGCCTGGTGGGTGACGCCACACTCACTCACTCTTTGACATCATTGGAACACCGTAGAAAGGTCGGCGACCTTTCACTTTTCTATCGATACTTCCACGGGAAATGTTCTTCGGAAATCTCTGCTATCATCCCTCCACTAGCAATACCAATCAGACGAACAAGACAAGCCCAGTCAGCACATCCTTTCGTTGTCAACCTCGAAAGATGTCGAACAGCACTTTATCAAGACTCCTTCATCCATAGAACGGCTAGGCTGTGGAATTCATTGCCTGTGGAAGTATTCCCAACAACATATAATCTTCAAAAGTTTAAAAAAAATTCCAATACCTACCTCTTGTCCCTATCCTCCCTAGGAACGCACGATGTTCTTTGAACATTATAGGGATTCCCTTTCGTGCGCTCCAAGCGATAAAAAAAAAAAAAATATGAAAACCCTTGTGTATGAAACTCCAGTTCAGTCGGAAGAAGATTTGGTGGCTAGGATTTCTGTTGCGGCTGAAATGATCCAAACCATGCCTGATGTTTTCACTGACGTCAATTCAAATATGCTACGTAGGTGTTATAAATGTATTGAACGTGGTGGAAGGCAATTTCAGCAATTATTATTCTGAATTTATTTTGGTACGTACAGGGTCAGTCAACGACAGCGTTAGTAAATTCATATTCAAGACAAAAATTTACTGTGCCTTATCCTTGACTCACTCGTTAAACCTGTTTGTGTTACTTGTTTATTTTGTACTTTTGGAACTTCAAAACTTCAAGTTTTTCATTGATACTCGTGAATGATTTATTGCAAATTCATTATTAGTTTTGCTTGTGTAGGTTTAATTGTTTTTTTTTTTGAAATATTTTGTATACGTTCCCTGCTTTTACTTTTTATAACCCCAATTTCGAAAATGCAATAAATTTCTCTAATCTAATTTATTTTCATTAAAGAAGAAGATTTGACTAACTAATAATGCTCACTATCTGTACTGAACCTCATTTTCATATTTCAATGTAATAATTGGTTTAAGACCAATAATTTATTATTGATTGGATCTAGGCATTATCGGAGGAAACGGTGACAGATAGCGATTTTTACAAGTGTAACTTTTTTATGTAAAAGGCATTGGAGAATCATAATCAGATAAAAAAATGGTGAGAAATTAAAGCCTAAGAGGAATAGGGTCAAATTTACCCAAATAATCCCCTGGTTTGTACGCCCCTGGTTAAAGGTGACAAAATCCGGAAGGCTCAAATCATAGATTCTCAAATTGATGAATCTACAAACAAGATTTCATGTCCCAAAATTGGTTGCGATAGCTGCAGTAGTACGAAAAGTAGTTTCTGAAGGTCATCTTCGAAGGGCCCTAGCTCCCTGAAGAAGCGTTTCCGGACCCATGTTCACATGAACTTTTTTTCTTATTTTCGTATGTTTTATCTACCCTAGAAGTTTGTAACATGATCACTGGAACACCCTGTATACCTAATTGAGAATCTATGGATTATTGAATAACTAATATTTCTGAAGTTCCCTTACGTACTATAACATATTCCTATTAGCACACAACGTCCAAGGGGCGTCCCTATTTGGCCCGAATGTCCCGGACCAAAAATAAGTGTCCTTGGGACGTCCCATCCCGTACATCTCATGCATTGTCCCAGCAAGGACGTTCACGGAATGTCCCAGCAGGTCATCATTTCGAATGTCCTAGAAATAGCATCATCAAGACGTCCCACGTGGTACATATTGTAGAATGTCCATGCAAGGACGTCCTTGACATGCCCCTGATGGTATATGACTTTAAACGGATATCCCGAGTAGTACATATTCTGGCATGACTTGAGATCTTATATAATGTCACCTCTAGACAAACATGAAATGTCCCTGATGGAACATTCCTTTATCTACAACTATGGAGTCATTCATACATTGCTAACTCGATTTTCAACATTTAATGACATACATTATTGTGATGAATCGAGTAATAAGAGTGATAATGACAGTAGGATGGCGTAATAATTTGACATCCCATCGTCTTGTCAAATTCAACTAGGTAGGTATTCGTTCTACTAGTCCTACCAACACGTTTGTGACATACACGCAAATTCAAAAGATGCACCTTACATGGTTATCATAGTTTTAATCACCTCAATTCTACAAATACACGGAAAAATGAAAATTCACTGTTTTTCATTCTCAACAGTGACTACCATCATGAGTAACCATAATCATAAAATAGGACTTGACACTTGACAGTTGCAGATTGGCTCACACCCATGAACTACTAACGTCTAGAGACAGGGTACTATAATTAATCATCGCGGTGGGGGAACGCTACAGCTACAGTTAATGAATAATCTGCAATACTCGCAATATAGTATGATTCATTTTACGACTAAAAAGTGAAATGACATATAATACCTGGTTAGATTGACTGATATGTGTTTGCACGACTTTTTTCCTGTTAATAAAAGTTAGATCCAACATTGTTCATCATATTTTCACAATCGAAATTATTGAGATTATTTATAAGCAGTGCGTTGATTGAAATTTCTGTCAATAAGTTTTCGATTGAATAAATGAGTATTTCAAATCAGATTTAGTGATTTTGCAATAAAATATCCTTCATTATTTCCAAAGATTTATTTCTGAACACTCAAAGTTGCTTTGCTATTTGAATAGTTGTAGATAAAGTATAGTATTCTACTCGCACATGATGACTATCACCCACTCAAATGATTACAGCACTCGCCTTCGGCTCGTACGGCAACTTTCATCTTCGTGGGTAATAGTCATCATTATGCGCTCGTTGAATAATATACTATTAAATATCTATGCACAGACGCCCTTAATATTTCCAGGATCGTATAACAATCGAAATGTCTCTTAGGGACATCCTTCGAATGTCCGTCGGATGTTCCAATTGGTACATGAACTGTACTCTTCCAATGTCTTGGAAATAACGTCCTACGGACGTCCTAGTCGGTATACTTTCAATATGTTGACCCTGTGAAGACGTTAACTTACACCTCGCCGACGAATGATTGCTCGTAGGCTATAAATACTCCCCGTCAATGTCCTTCACTTAAGTCCATTGGACATCCTTGAGAAACTTTTTCAGGATCTATTGGGGACCTTCTACGGACCATCAACTCAACTGGATGTCCTCATCAGTTATGCAAGATCTGGTCCTAGAGGGACCCAAAAAAATTAAATTGATATCCCTCAGCGTTGCTGATATAGGTTGTCCTACGGATGTCCTAACGATGTCCTCCGTAGTTCTTGATAAGGAATACTGTTTAGGTATTCGATAGCTGTCCCAGAGGCATCCCTCAAGGACGTCCTTAGTTGGTCCTCAAGTGGGACATTTGTGCGTCCCACAGACTTCCAATGGACGTCCACAGTACCAAATTCGAACGTCCTATGGACGTCCTGAATGTTCCGACAGGATGTAACGTCAGTTCACTCGCGGTAAATTTCTAGCTGCTTGAAAATTATCGTGACATCATTGACGATTTTGGCACCTTGGAATCGACCAAATAGTTCTAAAGAAATATGACATTGAAAGGTTTTCGAGTGATGATTTCATTTAAGAAATGAAAAAAGTTACTCCACTCGCTTATTTCATAAGTCAGAGACTGCTTTGCGTTGAATGTTGTCAAGTCGCAAATTTGTATCCTATTCTGAATACTTTTCAGTGAAGGTATTGCTGCCAAATCCTCAAATTCTACTTGATATCAGCAAAGAAAACCGATAAAACGAAAGTGAGTTAGCTATATCGGTGTAATATACAAGTATATCGAACTATTCGATGTATGGAAACTCCGTTGCCTTCTCTGAGGAGCTGCCACTGTTAAATGAGCCGGTCCTGCCTCAAACATTTCCTGGATCCATCTCTGGCTGTGTACTGTATACCGGGTACATTCCAATAAACAAAAACTTTGAATATGGCGACCTACAAAGGATAATCTGAAATTTACCAAGATTTCAATTATTAACATTTATTCCTTTGATATTCCAGAGAATACCCACTGTTGTTCCCGCTCAGACTTATGACCCTTCTGTAGATGCCGAAGCCATCAAGGTTGCAATGGAAAGTTGCCTAATTAACGATGTCGCTATCACCAGAGTCCTTTCCACTAGGTCCAGAGAACAAAGATTCCATATTGCAGTACAGTTCAAAGCTCTATATGGAAAGGTTGGTATCGAATCTACAAAAAATGTTTAAAATGTTAATGATAGAGTTGCATTTTGTATAAATGTCACATGGATGTATAAAACTTCGAATGGTGTGATTACTTCCTCGATGTCGCCTACTTAGTAAAAAGGCGATGAGTAGAAAAATCTATACAACTAAATTTCCAAATATTCTAACCTGAATTTCAGGCATATTGACGGATTCATATAACTTTTATTTTCTATTGATTGACGCATTGGTATACAGTGACGATTTCTGAGAACCTAAAAGTTCATTTGGGTTGCGATTTCAGAACTGTTCAAGAATCGTACTCGAAGTGCGTAGAACTTGTGCGCAGCCGTTTTGAATCCTAGGACTGTTCCAGAACGGTTCACAAATTATGAAATCCCGAACGCGACAGAAGAGAACCTCTGAGAACATAACCTCTATTCAGAATTTGCGAAAAAAAAACAATAGTTTGGAACCTGTATCCTTATTCGAATAATATCTCTGATGGAAGTTTTCTGTGAAGGGAAAGGTGAATATATTCCATCATAGCATTCATAGCTAGATTTTCAATATGTTTTGTCTCTTGGACCTACATGAATTTCGACACCCACCTGAAATGTTCAATGAATTGTGTATCTGGATATGATGACAAAATATCCCTAACACAATCATCCATTTTTCGGATTATCTAACGAAAGTTCGAGAATTATCAGATTAGGCACAATATTTTCAGCAACTTCAGCAAGGAACTCCTTCACCTCTGCTTCCTGAAGATAAAGAACTACTATCAAATGAATGTACTGAATCCATAATATTGAGAAAATAGTGGAAAGAGCAATAAACATTTGAATAAACAACATGTACCGGGTGATCAAGATTCTGAATTCTGCACCACCCTGTATTTGTTTCAATTAAATGTTAGTAGATAGTTGATCAAAAGTTGAGCTAGGGACATGTGAGCCGTTTTGACCAATAATGAATAGTTTCGACAAAAAAAATTCCTAAAGTTGAAAAATGTCGATTTTTCACACCCTATATCTCTGTAATCATTTCCGCTAGACCCCAAGTGTGATACATCGATGAAATCAGCTCTTCAGGGAGGATCTAAAAATGCAATAAAATACAGAGTGTTCTATTTGAAAAATCAAAGTTGCTACTGCTTTCTAATAGAAGCGGCAACACCACATTGTCGAAAATATTTTAGTTGGCTAGAGAATGTCCGAATATGCCCTCTATTGAATTTTCAAAATGATCCGTTATCTGGTTTGCCAGAAACGTCTAATTAACGCTCATCGTGAAAAGCCCTGTATATTGTTCTTTGAATATTATGTTTTTCTAGGATTTGATCGAACGTTTTGAAAAAAAGTTGTCCGGCAATTTCAAGAAATCGGTGATAGCCTTGATGACTCCGCTGCCAGATTTCCATGCCAAAGAACTGCGTGATGCCATTACTGGAGCCACTACGGACGAAGACGCCCTCGTAGAAGTCCTTGGCACCATGTCGAACCAGGAAATCATGGCAATACGACAGGCGTATCACGCTCGTAAGGGTTTCATCATTCATTTGACTTGACGAATAATATTTCAACAATTCATCTACAACTACCCACACAGCTCATCAGTCATCACATCTCATATTAAGTCCATTAAGCATAAGGTGGATACAATGCAGTGTGTTTCACAGTGGATGGAGCATTAGAAGTGTCTGGAGAACCAGAATGACAAATCATCCCTAAAATTCGTTAGCGTGGATAATGAAACTAGCTCTATATACGTCTAAATAATCACAAGAGTACAGTGTTGCCGGTTATATCAGAAAGTAGTAGCTATACTTTGTTACTTCAAAGAAACACCTCGTATATTATATCATTTTTCGAATCCTTATAAGATACCTCATAACTTTTTCTTGTAATTCTCTATACCTATCTGTAACGGCTTTTGAGTTAAACATTGTTTTGTCCAATTTTTCTGCATGTTCTGCTGACATTCTTGTAACTTTGACCATAAATGATGAATAAATCTATCAATACCACATTTGAGCAAATATTTTCTGCCATAGTACTTCCACACTTATGCAATTTGAATTCAGGATGCCAATGAAGGAATAATAGTCAGATTTTTGTCAGAATGAAATTTATAGCCTACTATTTACATCACTATCCAATAATTATTTTATTGAAGACGATTTCATAACATAAATGATTATAACTACCAAACCGTACGAGATAGGTCTAGGGAAAATATACACAATTTAGTTGTTAAATGTTACAGCTTTCAGAATAACTAACAATATACAGGCTGTTCCGTTCATTTCTATGAGTTCCCAGAAGGAACTTACTTCTGAGCCTCTCTGTACACTGAAACTGAGATCCAGTGCATTAACAGAATGCTCAATGGTCTTATGCAGCCAGGATCCAGATTGCAATATTTTTTCAATTTGCATTGGGAAATAGTAATTTTCCTAACAAGAGCGAAAAGTTATTCTTTCCCGCACGCGACTGCCGTTCACACGAACCACGACGCGAAGCGGAGTTCGGGCAAGCACTCGAGTTAGGAACAAAATTTTTTCTATACAAGCGTACGGAATTGATTGATTTGTTCAATAAATTATTCATGCAAATAGGAACAGCTAACAAGAGAAATATATTCTCTATCTACTAATTATTAGTAATAGCTATTGTGAACTTACAGTTTGACGCATTATGTAGGTTAATTGCGGAAGGCATCAGGCCCATAAGGAGTTTGGTCTCAAGGATTCAGACACTTCTAGGAAATGAGCCAAAAATACTTCTTCTTCATTCGGTATTTTCATTTATTTATCGTTGCACCATTCAATAAAACGCGTGTATATAGCTTCTCATACCCTTGTTAAGACTTCGTTGGCAATAACGCATCTGTATCGCATCCCTATAGCTGGACGTTTTTGATCACATTGTGGCAATTATTCCACTGAATCGAAGATCACAGTAACGCTGTGTCTGTCACTTCGACAATTACAAACTCATTTGAGGTTTGATTGGCATGACAACAATAATCGTTTCTTTTCAGATCAATCCAAATCTATAGGGGGATTTTTTTAACAATCAATTTTCAATTTTCAATATTTTTCAATTTTCACAATGAATATCAGAATTTGATGGATGATTCTGAACATACATACTTAAAACTGCAACAAACAAACTCAAACTCTCATATTTCATCACCTACCACTTATATATATTGCCATATTATCATATCTTTGTTTTTCCCGCAAAGTTGCGGAACATGACACTTCCCCAAACTAAATTGCGTGGTAAATGGTCAGGTTTTCGCGGAAAAATTGGACAAAATAATGTTCAACTCTAAAACCGTTACAGATAGGTATAGAGAACTTCAAGTGAAAGTTTTGGGGTATTTTATAAGGATTTGAAAAATGATATAAAATACGGGGTGTTCCATTTGAAATAACAAAGTAGCTTCTATTTTTTTATACAAGCGGCAACACTGTATCGATGAAAATATTTTAGACGGATAGAGCATGTTTCATTATCCACGCTCACAAATTTTCTAAGTGATTTGGCGTTTCGTTCTCCAGATATTTTTAATGTCCCATCCACTGTGGAACACCCTGTATACTTCCAAAGGACATATACGATCAGATGATGAAGTTGATATTAACGTTCATAGGTACCGTAGAACGGCATTGAGTTGATGAGAAAATGTGTTTTGCATCGTTTTTTCGAGAAGTATTAGGACAAAAAATATAGAAAAAATAATGTAGGTCCTGACACCATTTTCGAATGGCTCAAGTCGAAAATAATATCAAGAAATGAAGGTAAGGGCCTTCATTTTTCTTGTGAAATCGGATTCACATTTTCCAACACTTTGGGATAAAAGAATTCAGGGATTTGAAACGCGTAAGGCTCATTTTGAAATACTCAGAGGTGAATCAAAACATTTTATATTGATTTTTCATGCAATTCCATATCAAATTATATTCTCGACATGTTGAGAATACATCGAACCATCAGAAATTGATAACTACTTCGTTCATAGTAACTTTCAGAGAAATTATAGAATGATTCATTTTACCCAATTTAGTGACCACTTCAAAGTAAAAAAAAAAATCGAATCCAACTAAAACCAATTGTATACATAAGTAGATGAAATTATAAATTTGGTGCCTCCCACAAACAATCGTTTGAACAGTTTCGTAAAAATAGCAAATTATGTTACAACCTAAAATGTGTGATACTCTCGTGTTTCTTTAAACGTGGAAAACACCCTCCTTCACTTACTTAGACGTACTGGCGAGACGACTGGGACGCGAAAACGTTCCAATCTTGCAGCTGGGGCAAACAGCGCCCTTATTTGTACTGAAACACCCGAATCATTCATTTAACCCTGTTTGACGGTACTTGAAATGGATGATCTGTTTGAAACATTTAATGTACGTCCTCTTCGTATATACCCGTATAGATATTCATTCTGCATCCATAGATGTTAGGACTTCGAATAGACATCCAATGGACATTCGATTTGTAACATCCAATACAATATATGTTCTCTCTGTATGTACTCTACGTTAGAGATGCTCATACTGCACCCATCATAGGACTTCAAATGAACATCCAATGGACGTTCTACTTGGATGTTCAATTTGTAACATCCAATGTTCTATCGATTTCGTTTCAACGTCCATGAACATTAAGACTTTTTTTGGACGTGGAATGGATGACTAATGAATATTTGGTTTGTAAATTACAATGTACGTCAGCTTTCCAACGTACAATGATCTCATCCTATAAGCATCCATGTTTGTTCGTACAATGGTTATTGTCGTTGCTGCTGTGAATTTACGAATAATTATATCAGTACGATTGAGTGATATTGTTACATTCCATCGTTTTGCCTAAATCATAATATAGGTACGGTTCTACTATATAAAGTCATGTTAATTTATATGTTGAACTCATCGAAATCGTTAAGCCGTTTGTTCACCTCAGTCATTTATCTAGTCATGTGACTATGGTTCATCGAGTCGAATTTCGAAATCAAATGAACGTGGTAAACCAACTGAACTATTGTTTAATTCTGTGGATCAGTGGGTTATCTTGGTCCGATCTCGTCAGAGAATCGTTGAGTTGGTGTGTATAGGTGTCTACTATAATTTCATTCAAAGTTATTGATATTCTATTTTCCAAATCATATATGCAATATTCTTATCAATTGTATTATGAAGGAATTCATATTTTTTCAATTGACCATATCTTCAAAGGTAAGACAACTTCTATTTTGTGACGCTGACAACAAGGATGTCAGAAATGTCAAATCAGCGCCACTGTCAAATTGTATTGTATTCCAATCAGATCAATAACTATACAATAACAACATCTTGGGCGCTCCGTTTCTCATATAAGTACTATGATTATAATGAACATTGACCAAACACAACGCATTCGCCACAAATAAAACTGAATTTGACTGTAATTTTGCTGCCACCAACAAATAGCACGAATTGTCTAACACTTTCTCAACCTGGAAATCATAATGACACTGACACAAATATGCGTTTGTTAGATAATTAACTAAACACGATCTATAGCACACAGCACTGCACGATACCATTGTACTACATATAGTATCAATCGCGTTTCCACAAATACAAAGAAGCAAGAAAATTCACTGTTCTTCATTTTCAACAGAGAGTGACCATGAAATAGGAATTGCAGACCTAATAATTGAGTTTGCGCTCAAATTACTAACTTATACAAACAGCTAATGGAGTGACAACACATGAGGATGCGCGAAGAACTTTTACGACCAACTACTAGCGATCATAAAAATTGGTTTAAGCACTTGCTCAGTAGCTATGTGTCAACGTTAACACCGCATGTCTTACATATACGTATTAATAATCAATACGGATAATCTCTATCTGTTTCCATAGCGAAACATGAAGCCGATTTTTGAAGACAAATGACTATCCATAAGGAAAAGTTTTGAAACGATCAGACACATACTGCTTTGATTGAAAGGCTAGTAAACGTCATTGTCCACCGAAACGCATGTCTTTGATGACTACTATAATGGCGCATGGCGCATGCGTATCAAGCCACCAAATCCTTATGGATATTCATTTGTTTCATATTTTTGGCTTCATCCTGGCACCCGTTATGATCCGTATTGTTTATTAATACGTATATAATGTCTTAGATCTCTGTTTTGGAGGCTTGTAAGAACGTATCTGTCTACTCATTCGAACAGTTCCATCGATTGTTTCGAGACTTTTGAAAAATCTTTTGTCACCCTCTGTCGCCACGACACATATTGAGTATCCGGAAATACGTTGGTTCGTTGGTACAAAATTATTGGGATGTTTGAGAGCAACCTGGAATGTATGGTACAGGGAGATCGTTATAGTCTTGCCTACTTGATGATGTTTCAGCCTCAAGAGAATATCATTACGATAATATTATTCATGCTAATGCTTTACAAACAATGAATTCATCTACAATAGCGTTATATGGCCGTAGCATAGATGTATAGATAGTCAAATGGTGTTATCACTTCCTATTGAAAGGAGTTTCGAAATCTCTCGATATCGCATTCTTTGTGAAAATGGCGAGGCATGGGCGAATCTTGCTGAATTTTCGGAGTTACAAACCAAATTTACAGGCTTCATGTATCACTATGAATTGAAGTGGGTCTTTGTACCTTATATCCATTGTCTATCTACGGCTATGATCGATTTGACAGAGAATATAACCTCTAAAATCGTATCTGACAATCATGCGCTACTAGGGAAATTGAAAAGACAAAGAGCAGAATATATGTCTTATTCTTTTATTCACTTAAACCATTGTATTATAGGAAATAGAAAAGGACAAAAGTTCAGCTGTGTCCGAACTCTTATCAAACTAATACCATCCAGTGACTCTATATGACACATTCATTTGAGTTCACATTTTCATTTCCACAATTCCTTGTGTAAATGGAAACGGTGCAATATATTCTTATATTTTTGACTTTCAATGGTGAATTCATAGACGACACGAAGACTTAACTCATCAAACTCCTGTGATAATAGTTCATTTACTCACTTTTGGTACATAAAATGAATCAAATGTTCGGATTTTCGAATAATCCCCACATAATATTACAGCAGTCAGTTCATGATGTGAAAACAATACACTCACTCAACTAATAATATAATATATACCTGCTCAAGGAATTACTGATGCTATTATTTCATGATATTTCTATTTGAAATTAAAACAACATTTCGAATATGCTGAAAACATGACACGTGACAGATATGTCAAGATAAAGATGTTTCCGCACGGATTATTTGTTGCGCTCAGTCTCTCTTCTACGTACTGTCTCTAAATGCTTCTTATAAGCAATTATTGAATTCGTTCATCATCAGCGGTAATCTTCAGGTCCTGAAAGGAGGAAAACACATCATCGTAAGTCTAGTTGAGGAGGTCGCGTGCAAAACCGGTTATATCCGCTTAAAATGGCGTGACACATGATCTGGCTTCAGTTTCGTGAGCTCTATCGCCTGGTGCATTGATTTGTTAACAAAACGAGCTATATTTAACTGTTATAGGTGTCTGAAAGTTGGGTTTTGGAGCAAAATCAGATAGATCCCCAAATTTGCAGGCAAAAGCAGATGAAAATAATGAAACATGCGGAGCATATTCAAGAGAATGTTGATGTAATAATTCAAGTGAAAAAATACTTTCTTATCCATTATTTTTCTCTGTAGGTATATTGATCTGGATTTTCAATTCGATTCATTCAAAAGTGATTCATTCTATTCATTATCCAAATTCTAATTGATCTACGGCGGAATTTTGCTTATTTGTATCAGGCAACAGATTGCAGACGTTTTTCTCGTTTCCTGAAAAATTTATGAAAGTGGATATATCTGGTTTCGCACGCGAGCTCCGCAGTTGAACTTTATAATTTGATTCGAAACGCATTTTAAAATTTTTCAAGGAATTGTCCATCGTGCACGCCATCTATTATCGAATTGTTCATATCGAGAGCTAGTCTGACAAAACAATTGAAAAGTGGGCACACCAGAGGAATTATAAACATCTCAGCCGTAACAAAGACAAACTATCTTCTTTCAAAATTATTCTGTCAATTAAGCTAATAATCGAAGTTTATCTTGCAATACGTGCTTGAGAATGATTGAGGCTGAAAACCCAGTTATAGCCATTCCATGGTGAATAATTGACCCAGATAAAGCCAGAACTCGAAAAAAAAGCAATACCATATTTTCCCACTGTCCTTTTAAAAGCCATTTTGAAATAGGCCCCTGTAGGGCAACTTGGGTTACTCCCCGATAGACTGCACTACTTGTCCAGTAATCCATTCTTAATTGCCGGTACGTGTGGTGCCTAGCGTTCATTTTCCGCAATTGGTGTTCTGTAAACAGGTGATTCCATATTTTGGTGCCGAATTGCCGGGAAACATGAATTCTTTCAGGTAAGTTATATTACCTTCAAATAAATCCACTATAAGATAACAACACAGAAAATTGTGTAGATAAACAATGGGTATCCATAATAACCATTATCATCTTGATATAGGTTATGGGTTTTTATTTAGAATCATTTCTCTATTTGTGTTCTTTTAAAAGGACAGTGGCAAAATGCACTGCTGAAATTAGATGATTAACAAACATATCAATTCATTATAATGGCTCAACAAAATGATGAATAATCTTTCCAATATTGTTTCAAGTGTCTTCGAGTACACCTAACTTTATTCATTTTATTTTTCTTCCAAGTGATTTCTGGAAGAGACCTACGACTTTCAACGAATAATTGGAAGAGGCTGAGAACTTGGATAATAATGATGACCTAATTCCAGGTGAAATTATCATTTTTCCACCAAATAATGATGACGTAACAGATGAAAACAGTGGAGATGAGATTAACGTGGAAATAAGTAACTTACCTGGAGGACAGCTCAGAGCTGCCGCTGAGGTGAATTTTGACAATATTGAGTATGATAGGGAATCTGATGGTGAAGATGATCTGCCATTGTCTCGTTTAGAGAAGAGAAAAAAAAGGGGTACTGGAACTATACGAGAAAATCGATTACCAAAGAGTTGCCAAATTATGTTGTCGAATGAAATGAAGAAACAGCCTCGAGGAAATTGGCATGACAACAGTATTGTGGACATCGCTCCAAACCATGCAATCTACTATCCAGGTCAAACGATTTTCTAAGAAAGATAATAAAATCATTCTGGTTCCACAGCCACACATAATTAAACTATATAATGAGAAAATTTGGAGAAGTTGATCGAGCAGATCAAAATATTAGCTTAAATATAGATGTTCCATTCGAGGCAAAAAGTGGTATTTTCCTCTCTTCTGTCATTTTCTTGATATGGCAGAACAAAACTTATGGCGTCTTCATGAATTTGGATTTGGAAAACTGGATCATCTGAGTTTCAGACGTTCCATTGCCGTAGGATCACTAGAATCCTTCAAGAATAAATCGGAAGGAAGAACTTGGAAACTTCCAAAAGAAGGCTATTCCTTCTCCAAGTACGATGGAGTAGATCACCTGGTTGTTTACCAAGACAAGTAAACTCGCTGTATTTTCTGTCATAAAAAGAGCAATTTTTCTTGTAAAAAATGTTCAGTAGCTCTACATCCCAAGGATTGTTTTCGGCAATTCCACTAGAAAAACTAGTATGATGAAATTTCTTTTATGAGTTATAGAATTAAATATACTCACTTACTGATATATCTATGCTGGTTTGTTTTCGATATCGAGAATAATATGTGCTAGATGATAGCAGCCCATTTTGCCACTTTCCTTTTAAAAGGACTCCTAATTTCTCTCAAGTGACTCATGAGAAGGAGAATTTGATGATTTCCTGTTCATTTTCCATGGCTAAGGGTGAACTTTTCAAACTTGAAAACAATTTTCGAAAAAAAAAAAATGTTCTGGCAACATGACAGGTTTGGCTTTTAAAAGGACAGTGGCAATATCTGGGTAATCATGTAATGATTTATTGTTCAGTTGATGGTTTCTCAAAGTATCGACACTAACCTATAAACACAAATGAAAGTTCCCAATTTTACGCCAGATTGAACTCGCGCACAACCCATCTTGGAAAAGTTGGTTGACGAGTATGCGCAGCTCGTTAATCGTAATTGGCAGGAATAGTGTAATTTAAAATATACTATATATATCATCGCTGTAACTGCAGTACGCCGTACAACAGGGAACAAAAACAGCGAACGTACAAACATACTTCTCAAAATAATTAAACAGCGAAACACAATGAGCAACATACCTCATCATCCACAGTACAACAAATACGAACAACTTGAAATTGGCTTACTACTGATCAATAATGAGATCATAAAACAGTCGATTCTGATGAAATATACAACGAGTATATATACGTTCTAACAAGTTGATGCATACTGCGCAGGTGCCTCAACCAATTTTAGTGCTTCGTTGGTCGTAACAGTTATTTGACTATCCTCATGTATTGTCCTCATATGTTTTGTTTATAAATCTTTGGAAGTACCAAGTAGTATGTCAGTCTACTTATACCAATGTATATTGTTTCTAGTTTATCACAGTAACCTGGAGCGTGACATCAAAGATGACACCAGCGGCATCTTCAAACGCCTTATGGTCTCGCTTTGCAGAGCTTGCAGAGACGAAAACACGCCCGCCAATCAGGAACAAGCTGAAGAGGACGCGCAGACGCTCTACGATGCCGGAGAGGGACGCATAGGCACCGACGAATCCACCTTCATCAGGATCTTTTCCCATCGCAGCTTTGCACAGTTGCAATTGATCTTCAAGGAGTACGAACGAATCTCAGGACACGGCATCGAGCAGGCCATCAAGAATGAGTATTCTGGGGATTCCGAGCAAGGATTCTTGGCACTTGTGCAATCCATAAAGAATCAGCCGCTGTTTTTCGCGAAGATGTTGAATAAGAGCATGAAGGGACTAGGAACAAATGATAGGCAGTTGATAAGGTTGATGACGTCTAGATGTGAGATTGATATGGAAGACATCGCGAGAGAGTATCAAGCGAAATATGGCGAGCCTTTGTTAGATGCGATCGCAGTAAGTGATGGATGTCGATACAATAATTACAAAATATTTTTTCTAAATTGATTGCCGATGTTGTTCTAGTGGTGGAGGTGCTCCAGCTAACATTTACATATTTGTAAATAGTTTTTTGTTTCACTATAGGCAGAAAAGGAAAAAGATTCGATGCCACGACTGGTGTTTCAAACCAGCCAAGGCATTGAATCTTCTTTTCTGCCATGTGAAATATATAATTATTTTACAAATGTTATTTAATTAATTTAACTCTATCATTGTGTGTTCACCGAATTGTCTAATTTGATTTCAATTACTTGACAAAGTTCCAAGCAATTTCTACCTAGGCATTAAAAATGTCCCTTCTTTGCCTGTTGAGTGTCAAAGAAAAGACACTCCTAATAAATAACATTTGGAGACATTTTTTTTCTGATGGATTTGTTTTTGGTTGTTTCAGGGGGACTGTTCAGGAGATTACAGAAGGTGCTTGGAAGCTCTCATTCGAGGTCCTTGTTAGCTTTTATTCAATACAGCCATACATGTGCAACGCCGCAAATATTTTTACTACATATATTCTATATTTCAAGATATTGTGATATATTAATCTATAAAACATTCGTTTTTACATTGCGAGAATTTCATCATTCCGCTGATTCTGTTCAATAAAAAAACTTCCTATGATAAATATTCAATGTGTATTGTAGGGCAATGTTCGATGAATTTCGAAACAGTCATACATCACTCTTACGGATTACCTACTTATGTATAGTACTCATAGTACTCATACTTACTATTCTGAAAATCAAAATACGAACGATATTACTTTCCTGCCAAGTAAGGATATTCTGGCATTGCTGCGAAACAGAACCTACACATCAGGATTTGAGGTGATGTCGAATTGATATAATTTGTCCACTTGCCCCTAGAATAATGTGTATTATTAGCAAGTCTACAAACAATATTCAAAAGATTGCTACGCATGGTAAATAGGAAAATATATGTTGGTGTTTGTTTTATTATACGCTAAAGATATTCGAATCGACTTAATTTGTTCTCATAGAATTAATTAATCCATCAATCAATTTCGAACGGAAGTTATTCAGGAAGGTAAGTTCTATACAAAGAAGCTGCTTCTTCATGTATTTTACTCATGTTCCGTAGGAAGTAGATTTCTGTTCAGTCAAAACTGGTAAAAATTCAAATTTCCCCTCCTCATAACACATTTTTATTTCATTGTATTCTCAGGACGTTAAACGATACCTAAATGTCATTATCATGCCTGTTTATCTATCCACCTATAATAAATTGGGACTTATACTCAACAGAGTACTAAGGTACAGCATTATCAAGATATAATTTGAATCATTCCTGCTTTCTTAGTGAACTTGAACCATTCATCTCATTGAGAAATAAAAATGAAATGAATGTATATTGATAATAATATATAAGGCCTGATACATTACGAATGATCCTTGTTTGAAGGTCTATAGTTAACTGTGATTATGAGGGCAAGAAAAAAGTTTGATTGATTCTGGTCTATACTGACACCAAAGATGGAATAGAAGGTATCGAGGTAGACTACATTTACCACTTATATACAGTGAGTTATTCGATGAAGGCAAGGGAAGCTAGTCTTTTGTAGTAATTAAACTGGAGACCTAGCCAATAATGTCGTGTTATAACTGCAAGTAAAAAGTACACTACCAACAAGTGAATGATTCTATAAGGCTAGAAACAAGTCACTTGTATAGTTATCGAACTGTATACCTAGCCAATGACTTCGTAATATAACTAAGTGAGAAGTAAACTGAGGCCAATGAAACAAATATTCTATCTCTGATAAAGCATGTAATATCAGTAGAGGTTATGTTAGGTTCGATCACTCTGTATTATGAAGTAGGGTGACAGAAGTCAGGGAGAGTGGGCATGGTGGAAATTGGGAATCGTAGGAATTGGGCATCGTGAGAATGTAGGAGAAGTGGGCTTGGTGGAAATCTTGTGTTCTCTGAATTTTTCTCATCACCTGGCAACGTTGCACTCTTCGGCAATCTTCGTTATCATGGTGGGAATTGGGCATCGTGGAAATTGGGCATCGCGCTACGCACCCCATATAACGCAAGGTGACTATGACACAATCATTGGGCGTAACTGTATTATATCTTTGTGGCTATTTCCGGATAAATATATTGATGATTATTTTCAAGTGGAGACATTGACGAAACATATCATGGACCGGTATAAAGATGTTTTCCAAGAAATTATTGGAGAAATCCGTTCAATTAAGGGCTGTTTAAGATTAAAGAAAGATGTTGAACCATATAGACTATACGTTGAACCAATATCCATGAAACCTAGAATGGTTCCTTATGCTCTGCGAAGTAAAGTTGAACAAGAAATCCCGAGAAACAAGGAATTTTCATAATGGGGAGCTCCTTTGGTTCCAATAAATGAAAAAGTCAATTCAGCTCGACTTTGTGCAGACTACGAAGTAACGCTCAAAAAATGTTTGGCAGAAGATCAAACAGACGAGATTCCTAGAATTGAAGATTCATGCATGAAGTTACGTGGTGGAAAGTATGAATGTGTACTGGCTGTTTTCAAAGCCTATTTGCATCTATCAATGGACGAAGAAAGTGCAAATTTGCTAACTGTACCTACACTGGAGGGCTGTTATCGAGTAAATAGGTTGATGTTTGGGATGAAGTCAGCACCAAACATATGGCAGCGATTGATGAACTCAATATGATTTGACTTGGATGGTTGTAGTATGTTTCTTCGATGAAATCGTGGTACGAGAAACAACAATTCAGCAAACACGCGAACGTCTAGAATTTGTATTGGATAGACCACAGAAACATAATTTGCATTTGAATCTGAACAAAGTTAAACATTTTAAACGGCCAGCTCAATATTTGGGTCATACAATCGATGAATTTGGTTTACACAAAACAGGCGAGAGAATCAAAGATTTATTGAACGTCACAGCTCCTGTGAATATTCATCAACTGAGACAGTTCTTGGGGATGGTGAATTATTATAACAATTTCATTTCTTATCTAGCGAGCAAATTACATCCTCTCAACCAATTACTGAAGAAGTCAAGCAAATTCGAATGGACCAATTATTGCGAAACTGTATTCAATAATATCAAGAAAGAAATAACAAGCGATCAAGTATTGATCCATTATGATGTCAGTTCACCACTCATTTTAGCTATCGATGCATCAGCATTTTTATCTCACAGATCACCGGAAGGAGGACCTATAGCTTTTGCAAGTAGAACGCTCACAAATGCAGAACAACAATATTTTTTCAATATTGTTATGGACGAAAATTCATTTTGATGACGAATAATAAACCACTTACTTCAATTTTTGAAACCAGATAAACATCTCCCTGATATGCTCACAAACAGACTATTGAGGTATGCACAGTTTTTATCGGGGTTCGACTATTCAATTGAATATTGAAATACCAAAGACCATTTCAATATGGATTTTCTATCTAGATTCCCACAAAGCAATCCGCAAGAACATATGAATGTGATGAAACATTGAGTGTATTACGACAATTATATGAAGAATTTTTACCAGTAACCAGTGCCACGATAGCAAAAGAAACAGAAAAGGATGAAGAGTTGTATTCATTTTATAAGGCTATTCAAAGTGGAAATTTCAAGGACTGCTCGTACAAAGTTTTAAGGGAGCAGAATATATTTTCGAAAATAATTGCATTTTAAGAGGGTCAAGAGTGATCAAAATCGTTACAGAAGAAGGTACTAGAGGAATTACATACAGCTCACATTGGAATTGTTAAAATGAAAACTCTCACCCGTAATTATTGTCACTGGAAACATATGGATAAAGACATTGAGGAATTCGTCAATATTTGTATCGCATGTGGAAAAGTACAAAAGACATGCTGTGAGGTTCCTACTCATTCTTGGAAAGAACAGAATGAAGCATGGCGTGGTCTTCATCTTGATTTTGCGAGACCTTCCATGGAGCATTACTTCTTGATTGTCCTGGATGCGCGCTCCAGACGGTTAGAAGTCGCAGTACCCCAACAAATAGTGACCAAGAATGGGCCTTCTCTCGGTTCACAGGAATTCAAGGCATTCCTGAAATCTAATGGAATTCACCATATTACAACTGCACCGGGTCATTCTTCAACAAATGGTATGGCCGAAAAATTTGTTCGACCATGTCAAAGATGGATTGATGCGATCTGCATTATATGATTCCAGATATCTGAACATAAAACTGAACAGACTCCTGATGCAATATCAGGAGAATCCGAATGCATCGTAGGGACAGAGCCCCGCTGAACGACATATCCGCACGATATAATGAAAGACGATGCGGAGAGATGATCGCAGCAAACTCCAACTTAGATTCCCAGGGTAGAGTACTGCCAGACATTCCACACGTTGAAATCGTCATTAGCCAACGCACAAAACGAATAAGGCTAACGGTTCTGATGGAATTCTACCCATTATTCCCAAAAAGTGTGCACGAGGATTGACACCGATTCTCTGCAAGTAATTCGCCATCTTGTACAAGTCGAGTATTTTAAGCTGCAAAATAGCTAGAATCCAACCAATCCTTAGCAAAGGAAACGAAAGCCTGCTCAACCACAATAGGCTGATTGTCCTGTTATCAGTCAACTCCAACGTGCTGGAGGAAGCAATCAACATTGAGCTCATGAAATATCTGGAAAGCTCAGAAATCATTAAGGATAGACAAAATGGCTTTCGCCATCGAAGATTAACTGGAGGTTCACTTGCTTTCATTAAAAATACATGGGGAATTTGTAGCTGTGGCGTTGGCAATATCGTAGGCATTCGACCGTGTTTGCCACCATGGACTCCTCCACAAAGTTCAGGCAGAACGCTCCAATTTCTGATGAACAATGTATCGTCTGATACCATCGCCATCAATTCTGGAGTACCCGAGGCATCAATTTTGGCACCAACATTGTTCCAACTTTATATCAATGATCTTTTGAGAGCAACCACTTGCCCTATCCACAGTTCTGCAGGTGATAGTACTCCCCTTGGGATTCCTTCTCCTTCCCAGGAAACCAGGAACTTACGACATAGGCAGGTCAATGCTGGGGAACTGATAACCTAGTCGAATTCAACGCCACACGTGAGTCTGGGCAGCCTTTATTTTTCCTAGTAAGACGGAACTCAGTATGTCTGATATAACAATCTCTGGTATCACCATTTTCACCTAGACCACTATATCTATGCTCGGTTTTTCCATCAGCAAAACTCCTCAATAAAAAGTCATGTCCGATCCATCGGTGAAGGTGCTTCACGAAAACTCGAATTTTTATTCTGTGCGAAAATCTACATTACACCTCGACAGCTTCTCAAAATACTAATGTTTAATACTAATACTGTTCTCATATATGGGGTTCAGCACCCAAACATGCGCTGATGCTTTTAGATTCCATCCAGAGAAGAGCCATTTGCCTTGTGGGTGATGCCTCACCCACAAATCTCTCGACATCATTAGAATATCGAATGAAAGTCGGCAAACTCTTACTTTTTTATGGATACCTCCACGGGAAATGCTTCTCTGAAATCGCTGCTATCATTCCACCACCAGCAATACCAGTCAGACGAACTCGACAGGCCGAAGAAGAAGG